CCCCCCCCCGCTCCGCTCGACGATTAGCCGGTTCTAAAAGAGCGCCTGGCGGAAGGGCGAGCTTTATCTCGTTGTCAAGGCTAAACCAAGCGAAGTGAGATGCAGCGATCGTATCAAATCCCAATGGATCATTTGTACTTGAAGTAAAGTATGCTGTCATTGACAGAGTCTAAAAGGCGGCGTGAATCGTGAGGTAATTTTAGGAACCGCCATAACGCCTGGTGCTTCGGCACAATCTTGTGCGATGTAGCGCTGCTGAGTGGGTGGCCTACCCACGGGTTAGCAGGGGTCCAGCGTCCAGCTGAGTGCTGCAAGCTTGAGGGGCGGGGCAGGCGGTAACATTGTGAGGGAGGATGCAGGCAGGTGACGTCGCGTTTTCTCATTATGAACCTCAGTTTACCATCCGCGGCGCAGAAGAAGTACTCGAATACATCCAGCAAAGATGGAAAACCAGCGGTTGAGACAGCAATTGCCAGGAGAGGAACACCGTACACTTTCGGTTCTCACAGCCATGTGAATGTTGCTCCAACCATTATTTTACGGTTGTCCCCTGGGCTAACCACACACGATTGTTTCAGAATCAATTTTCTTGGTGTAGCCTTCTCTCATGATGTACCCGGGGTGTAGCTGGGCGGGCGGATGTGGTCGGAAGCGCTCTTCCCTTTTATCTCCTTCATCAAGTCGGTTGTTACCGAGCTGGCCACCGTGTACCACCGGTACCACCCACCGACGCCAAGCGGCACAACCAGTTCCGTTTCCGGGTCAAGGCCCTCTTCCATTGCGCGCGGCACGGTTTGAAGACGGCGCAACAACGACCCCAGGAAGACGCACGCGAGCTCGCACGCGATGCGGGACGGGAGCCTGAACCACTCCGTAGTGGAGCCGCCCCGTCCGGGGGCAGGGGCACGCAACTGCGGCCCAGGCCACTGCTGCAGCGGCGCAGCAGGGTGCACCAGCGCTCACAACCATGCCACTTTGGCAACTCCTTAGAACCACTGAATTGAACGTTCTAAACCTTTAAAGCAGGTGCGATACCCTAAAGACCCAAATTAAGCAGACATATGTCACGTTGAGGTGGAAAGAGGAAAAAACAAGCGCTTGACCAGCAAACTAGATTCAAACACGTGTGTTTCTTTGGGTTGGAAAAACGAGCAACGCTTGTCCACATTGTGGTTACGCCACACTGAACGGTGTTAAAGGCTAGGGAGGCTGAAGTGTGTCGCTCTCGGTCGCTCTCAATACTTGAGGCGGCGCGCTCACTGCCGTAGACCTCAGTCTTTATCGTGTCGATTTGGAGTCTCTGGGACGCCAGAAAAAACATTTTTGAATTTGGGAGAACACAGACCTACTATTACACTTCATCTGGGGAGGGGTCCCCTCCTCACCTATCACCCGTGCTCCCGCCGAGTCGAGGATAGGCAAACCCGCAACACGGCGGCGCGTGCTCTGAATCACCCGGCACATATTTATTGAATTTCCAGGAAAACTAGACAAGAGCAACAATTTTAAAGTTCCGAGCGTGGAATAACGTTGTATTGCCTTATGGACCATCACCATCCATAGAAAGAACGACATTTTTTATCATATTCATTCGGCAGGTTAAGGGAGCTCGGCCTCAGCGCCTGCAAAACTCGGGATAGGCCACCCCGCAGTACATGCATGCACTGCAGGCGAGACATTGCCTACCTACCAGGCGCTATGAGAGCTTTCATTGGCTGAATGTGGCCGTCTCGCAAAGGCGAATGGCGGACGGACGTTTTGGATTATCCCTTATCAAAACGTGCGACTTGACCATGTGCCCACGAGGTGTCGCTACTAGCTCTCCCACGGTGTGTTTCCCCCTTGCCATGGGTTCCTAAGCGGCTTGCCTTTAACTTGAATAATAAAGTAAGTGTGAGGATCCGGTTCCAGTCGCCCTAACTT